ATGATGATGATGATGATGATGACGACGATAATGATGATGATGATGTTGATAATTATGACGATGATGACGATGATGATTATGATGATCACGGCAATTATGGACAAATGATCAAACGAATAACAAGGTAATGAGTGAATAGACTTTAAGCCGGTGAACAAACGAACGAACGGACGAACGAATGAATGAACGAACGAACGAATGAACAATTATGAAAGATGAAAAAAATGAATAATGAATAAACGATGAGTGAATGGACAAACGAATGAGTGAATATATAAATAAATAAATTAATTAATTAATTAATATTGTAAACAGTCGAATTATTTTTTGAAAAATTCTACACAGAGTCGTGGTTAATAGAAAGATATTTAACTAAATGTTGACATGTAATAATGATTCATTGATGAAATTTACATATAAAAGAATGTACAGAGAGCGAAAACATTAAAACCACAAACAAAAACAAACAAACAAACAACAGGCAAACAACAAACAACAGACAAACAACAAACAAACAACAAACAACAGACAAACAACAAACAAACTCCAAACAACAACAAACAAACAAAAAAACAACAACAAAACGGCAAAACATTCTTTTGCTCAGGTTCTATAAAAAACCCTTATTTTTATCCAGGTCTGAAGATTTTGTTGATGCAGTTTATGTTGTAGTTGTAGTAGTTGTATTAGTAGTAGTAGTAGTATTAGTAGTAGTAGTAGTAGTAGTAGTAGTATTAGTAGTAGTAGTAGTAGTAGTAGTAGTAGTAGTAGTAGTGGTGGTAGTAGTGGTAGTAGTGGTAGTAGTAGTAGTAGTAGTAGTAGTAGTAGTAGTAGTAGTAGTAGTAGTAGTAGTAGTAGTAGTGGTTGTGATGGTGGTAATTATTGTTGTTGATGTTTTTGTTGTGATAATGGTGTCAAACAATTTTTTAAAATGAAAAATTGGAAAAATGTAATGCAATTATAATTATACTTGGTTTATTAAGTTAATAATAATTATAATATAATTATAATTATAATAATTATTATTATTATTCTCAGTTCTCTATCGATTAACAACAACAGCATACAGCAACTACAGTTCAT